CGTCCAGGGGCCGGGCCCAGTTGCTGAGCGTGTCGTAGGGTTGCCAGTTGTCCAGTCTTTTCACCTCCTGGCAGGGAAAAAAAACCCCCAGAAATATCGGACATTGTAGGTGTCCGGTATTTTCTGATTTTTTTTTAAACCGGATAGGAGGTGACAATACCGGACACCTGGCAACTCTACCAACCATGAGCAATCAAGCTTTCATGAAAGTTCTTCCTCCACTGAAGAGGCATGTGCTGCCACTTCGGCAGCTAGTTGTCATGCTTTGGGTTTTGATTGCTACCATTCTGCAGGAGGGCAAAGTGTTCCGAAGAGCTTTAGAGCATGCTTGGTGTTTCTAGCATCATGAATTCACCATTCAGCTCACTGTTCCAACCGTGTGAATTCACAGCGCCTGCCTGGCTGCACGATAAGCTGGTTTTGACATGCCACACAGTTCCTTGAGACAACAGATGGGCGTGTCAGGGATTCATGGGAACCTAGGCTAGAAAGCCACTTCCTCTTAGGTCAGAGATTGTTCGGCCAGGCCACAGTCCAGTGACTAAGGAGAATCAGAGTGTGGGGAAGGGGGAGGTGAGAGAGACAGGGAGGGGATTAGGAAATGAAAGAGCAAGCCAGGCCACAAAAACATAGCTTCTGTCTCCGAGCGCTGAAGGCTGAACTTAAACAAGCTCCTCCTCACCCCAACGGCTACCATCACCACCACAAGCTGCAGCAGCCTCGATGGCGAGTAACCAGAACTGCAACCGAGTCCAAGCCGCAAACGTTTAGGAAAAGCATCATGACTGGGATTGTGCAAAGGTCTGTGAGAGACCAACTCTAAGGCCTGTGGGTCTAGGGACAATCCCAGCCTACATGCACAGCATGCACGTTGCTATGTGACACATACAGGCTACTGGCATGTACAAGAGAGACTGGCTGCACATGTGAGTGGCAGGTGGTTGCAGAACTCAATGATGCTCAGGCACAAACAACGGGTATGAACATCTCAGGGTATCAGCTGTTTCAGGACTTCACCCAGCCCTGATGGCAGATTCTAAATGCCTGCACATACCTGCTCACAGTCCATTTTAATATTTTTTTCCCAAGAGAAGCTCTAGCCCTCATTTAACACTTGAATAATCCATGTCTAGCAGTACCTTTAGGAAGCTTTAAATAGCTCTGGTCCTAGCTGAACACCTAAGCAAATATTGTAGAAACAGTGATCTTGTCAACGTCTACCAAGAACAGAGTCCTGGGCACAAATGTAACTGGGGCTAAAACAGCTCCTTGCTTCAACAGCGTGATCACAGAGCTCATGGTTGGTCGCTTTCACCACTACTCGACCCGAACCAACGACAAACAGAAGAAACGCCTGCCGACTCTGGACTCAGACACCGACAGCCAGCACAGCGTACGACCACAGGTGTTCAAGTTGCATTGTGGCTGGGCTTCAGACGGGAAAATAACTCACTTTGAAGAACTTCCTCTTTGTACTGCATTTCAGAGCCCACAATGATTCATGCCTTTCAGTTTTCCAGTGAACTAGAATCAGATGGCTCCCTTTGATAAGTCGTCCTGCAGAACGCCTGGAAATAGTTTTCCAGAACCCACCTGTGCTTAATGAACTGAGGTCAAGCGTGGGGAAGAAACAGTTTTCTCAAAGCTCTGAGCAAGGAGTATTTTGTTTTTAAAAGCAAAACTGTGCTTTTTAAACAAACCGACATACTTACGGTCTATGAGCACTGCCGTAGCTTATGGAAAAATACCTGGTTGCCTACAGCTCCACCTACTAGAGTGCATTGAGGACTCTGTGCACAAACAGAAGAAAGAGGAAACCTCTACAGAGCACTCTTACAACTAGTTAGGACTGAATGTAGTCACAGCAGCTGGGAGAAGGGGTCTTAGGAAAGTCAGTTTTACTATTTTAATCAGTTACAAGTTGTTAACTAACTAGGGTTGCTAGATGGTTTCACCAAAAATAGCAGACCCAGGGGGAAAAAAAGTACCCTGAAAATGCTGGGGGGGGGGGGGGGGGGAGAGCACCAGGCAGCTGAAATGCAGTTGTGGCCCTTTTAATTGCCTGGCCCCACCCCCACCACGTGTCCGTCAGCAGCCGCGTCGGAAAAAGCAGAAAATACCTATGTCTGGTATTTTCTCAATTTCTTTGCCAGACAGAAGGCGCAAATACCAGACTGTCCAGTACAATGCCGGACACCTGGCAACCCTATAACTAAACCCAGTGGTTTTCAAACAACAGGTCGTGACCCAGTACTGGTTGTGGACTGTCAGGCGCTGGCTCTCGCTGCTGCAGGGGGATCAGGTGACTGGTGGGGGGAGAGCGCACAGGGCTCCATGCACTGCCTCTGTCCTAAGCACAAGCTCTGCTCTCTCATTGGAGAGGCAGGAAGCTGCGTTAGCACCCTCATTGCACAGCTGACCAGGAGCTGCTCAAGGTAAGCCCCTCCTGCCATAGCCCTGCCACACTCAAAACCGGAGCCCCCTCCTGCTCCCCAAAGCTCAGGCTTAGCCCCACTCTGGAGCCCATACTCTGTCAAACTATGTTACGCTGGCAGAGCAGTGGAAGCCCTGCAAGAGGCTTGGAGGAGAAACCCCAAGACAGACTCATTGGGTATATTCTAGCCCTGTTTCTTTCCTTAAAGAGCTAGAACTAGAAGGGAACCTAACATCTGTACAATTACTGGCTCTTGCCTTAGAAAGTAGAAGAGGTTGAGGATGCATTCTTGTTAAGGGAAGGCCTTAGAGGAGATCCTCTTCTGAAAGTGGCACCCAGGAAGCCCTGGTGTTTATCAAGCATCGCAACCCCTGGGTAAATTTTCTGATTGCAAGCAAAGAGAAGTACGTTGCCAAAAAACTACTGACTCTTGCTCTTTGGGAAGGTAAACTGAAGAAAAGCCCTCCGTGGGACGAGGACAGCTAGGCAGCAAGGCAAAATTAACATTTGCAGGCATAAGGAAGTGCTTTCTGTTCACCTGTAGTGAGAACAGCAACTCTGCCAACTTCCACTCATTGCTCCTGCATTTTACTTACTGGCAATTACTGAACAGCACTGCAGTTATCAATATTGAACCATAAAAAGAACACTGAAAGCCACACACGAAAGCCCATTACAGAGCAGTAGCAGCTCACTGGGAAGTTCATGCTGGCTGGAACTGGGGAGTTTCCCATGTCCCTCCAATGGTGATTTGCAAGTTCCTGTCAAATTGCAGAAGCTGGAGGCTGCTTTGCATATGATGCCAGAGATCAGACAATATTAACCGTCTCACAGCAAGCTGCTTCCCACGGAGCTGCGCATGGAGTTTAAAAGGAACTACACAAAACATCACCCCTGGGCTTCCTTTTTAGTGTGTGTAGTATGACAGGCTGCGTAGCCTGGTGCTCAGAGCAAGGTACTGGGAAACAGGGCTTTGGGATTCTATTGCCTGCTCTGCCACTGACTCGGAGTCCCTGGGTAAGTCACTTCAGGTTTCTATGCCCAGCGCCCAGACTGTGAAACGAAGAAAGAAGAGATCTGCCACATGGGGGCTTGCAAAGCCCTTTCAATCTCCCAGCTGAGGGGAGCTACAAAAGCAGTACCACCCGCCACGGCGGGAAGAGGCTTTCAATTCAGAGAGTGTTGAAAGCAGGATTCTGCTCGTCTTTCACTTGGTGAGCACAGTTCTACGTATCTCTCAAGTATTCATTCTGGGGGGTCCCGCATGAAAGAAAATCAGCTGCTACCAGTTTTTGTTCTTGACATAATGGAATCGCTGGTGTCAAATTATAATTGATGGAGTCTGGGGACCAAACTAAATACTTCGAAAACCCAGTACTGTAAATCAGCTTCTCCAGGCTGTTCTTCAAATCACTCCCAAGTCTTCCTGCCAAGTAAAACAACACTACCACATGGGTGGGAACTATCTTCCAGAGACCATTCTGGGAGCAGAGACTGGGAATGAGAAGAGTTTCCAACTTCCTTACGTTGAAAAAAAAAAAGTTTCCACAATTTTCAAACATTCACATAACTTGTCAGCATGTTCATATGGACATTTCTTCAGGGAATCCAGCCACAATTCAGATGCTGCCAAAGTTATTTCTGAAGAGCTTTTTAAAAAGAATTATAACACAGGAATTTTTCCCACTCATCATAAAAGAGAGGGCCTAAAATTCATCATAAGTGTATTTGCATAGGGCAGACATCAGAATATTCATTAGCATAAATAATGCTATGATTTTGTCACACATTTGTAGTTAATTCCTCGTGCACATGTGTCCGTGCGTAAAAACCAATAGTCATGGAAAAACCACCACCTGGAGGGTGTTGGCACATGACCCCCACTTCTGCAAACGCACCTCTGGCTCCCTGCTCCAAGCATTGTGACCTATGCAGATTTGGGTTGTTCACCTGTCCATCTGCCTCAGTTTACCACTTCCATGCCACATGCTCTAAGAATATCTTAGAGCTAAACGGCAATAACCAAATAGACTAGGAACAACATATTTGTAAAGAAAGTTAAATGCCACTGCCAGACTTGTGACCAAAACATTGCAATTTAAACCTAGAAAACATCCATCTCGAGATGCTGGCTCACTAAGGAGTTCCTAAGCTTGGCGAATCAGGTCAGTATTGAAACTGCTCCCAGGCTGAGCAGTTCTGTGCCAAGCTGTGCCTGAAGCAAGTTTTAGTCAAGTTATAAATCCTTTAAAATGGGTTCTACAATTAAAATGCTGACAAACCTTTCGCTATTTCAGCCCTGCTGGGTGCTACAATGTGGATATTCACCTAAGTATTGAAAAGGAAAATGCACACACATTATCAAGGGGAAAAAGAAAGACAGGGAGGCAGAGAAAGGAATCATTCACATCGGGCATCAGTCGTAGGAGCAGCTGTGAGCATTACACACCTGCCACTGGGCTGGGAGAGAAAGATGAAGCTGAGGCACTCTCCATGGAAGCACATTTATCTGGGCAACATGGAGCTGAGCTCTTCCCCAAGTGCTTTGGCATTTGCTGCGATCCATGCTTCAATGCATTTAAACGGATCACTAGCCATCCCAAAGGGAATCCTGTATGGAGCAGTGGCCAAAGGGATACAAGACCTGCTTTTGTTTTGAGCAAATATTAACCATTCTTATGTGTCGAAATGATATTAAGGACTACCTGGCACATCCTGACCCAAGGCAGCTCGCTCTCTGGAAGCATCCCCGTGGAGCTGGACAGATCAGACACATTTTCAAACGGAGAAGCAATACAGACATGAGGGTCTGAGCGGCAACAGTTTGGAAAGTGCCTGAAACGTGGGCTTTGTGGGAAGGCTAGTTGAAAAATATCCATCCATTCCACCAGGCCTCCCTGGCGCATGCTAGGACACTATCTCTGTGCAACAAGCCCCTCCTGGAAATGTGCACAAGGCCTTGCTGGATCATCCTCAGCCTTCCGCTCCATTCGTGGTGTGTCACGAAGTGAGGTGCTGCTGTGGTGAGTCGCACTCCCACACAGAGTGCAATTGAGCAGACTCTCTTGGCCTTCCCTTGCCTCTCTACCCCTAAACTTCGTCACCTTTATCCTGCCACACTCCGTGCCTCTGACTCACCCTGCACCACCCTACACCGACGGCAGGGCTGCTGCTTCTCGTTCTCTCGCCCACTGGAAAGGGGCTGGAACACCACAGTACCAGGACTGCCTGCAGAGTAGCAGCCCAGCCTTCAGCAGCAAGAAGGGGGGCGAACATTCCAGAATTTGCCATTTGCTGGCTCTCAGCCACACAGAAACCTTAAGTTTCCTTCAACTGAACTGTGCGTCCTTCCTTCTGAGTCGCGTGAACGGCGAGTGCCTCCATTTCTGAGTTAACGGCAGCGGTCTTCCTGCCCCCCGCCAGGCCCCGCTCACCTGCTATCTTGATGTTAAGGTTCGCATCCAGCAGCAGATTCTCTGCCTTCAGGTCTCTGTGAACTATGTTACAACAGTGACAGAAGTGGACAGCAGCTACAATCTGCTTGAACTTTCGTCGAGCTTCCTTCTCAGCCATCCGTCCATGGGCTACCAGGTGATCTGCAGGGGACCAAGAACAGAACATGTGGTTATTGGGATCTGGGGTGCTGCTAACAAGAGATGCAGAGGGAGAAAAACAAAACCATATTTCACTGGGACAATCTCCCTCCATGAGACTAGAGCTTGTACTTATTTGAATGAGCGCTTAGGAGCGTGCTCAAACTCACTCTGAGGACAGAAGAGTATTTTCCAGTTACAGTGGACATGTTTGTCATAGGGACTGATGATACTCAGAACTAGAAACTCATTCCGGCACTAAAACACTCACATTCATCAGAGATTAAGACGCCATCCAGCAAGGGGTCGGGCCTAGTTCGGGGTCCTCCTGACTCAATGGGTGCAAGATTGGGAGTTGGTAGGAAAAGGCTAATACATGGTTTCACTAGGACAGTTACGTTGTCTGCAAGTCAAGAGAAGTGTCCTAAGACTGGAGGCTGGTCTGCTCTGAAAGAATAAATGTTCTCAGCTGTGCAAGCATGAAGCCTCCTGCAGAAAGCGCAATCCAATCTCTGCTAGAGACCAGGATACCATCCAATGTGTGTGGGTGTGGGGGTGTCCCTCATCCTGCGTTCTTAATGCAGGAGCCAGCTCTGTCCCTGGGGCAGCCTATGTTGGTTGTCCAGCCACTCCCAGGGTGGGTGTTATGAACCCACCAACCCATGCTCTGCAGGTGAATGCCCTATATCCTCCAAAGCCCACCTCACTTTCTATGGGTCTCTTATCCTGCCTTCCTAATGCAGGAGCCAGCTCCATCCCTGGCTGGAGGGGAAGGTGGGACTCAAGCCCCTAACCCTGTGCTCTCCAGGTGAATGCCTATCCCCTAAGCCACTCCAGAGCCCCCCCCCTCCCCCCCACATGGTGTCCCTTATCCTGCCTTCCTAATACGGGAGCCAGCTGGGTGTGGGTGGGAGGGAGGAGGCGACAGGCATCTCCCTTCAAAACCATCTGGTCCTGGCCAGCATCAGAAGCATGACCCTGAACTAGATGGCCCTTAGGAATTGCCAGACTGGATATTTTATCAACAGGATTCTTGTGACTAACCCCTGCAACACAAAGGAAGAATAGGAGTACAACTCCATAATGTACGCCCAGATTTATTTCATTTTTGCAACACTTCCTGAAGTGAGGAACATTTCAAAATGTGTATCCAGGAATTTGACACCCTGTGCCTTAATGCCTTGCTCAAATTTCTGGGGGCTTGCTGTTTTAATAAGTGACATTCACATTTTTATAGATCTTCCCAAGAGTCAGGGAGTGGGACTTTCTGCATAAGTAATTCTCATTGCAAAAGTGACTCCCTCTGTAGGCCTGTGCCTTGGGAACCTGTCCCAGAGGGGAGGAGATGCTGGTTTGAATCCTTTCTCTTAATAGGCAGCAGGTTTAGAATGAACAAAAGGTAGTACTTCTTCCCGTGTAACACAGTCAACCTGTGGAACTTCTTGCCAGAGGAAGTTGTGAAGACCAGGACTAACAGGGTTCAAAAAAGAGCTAGATCAATTCATGGAGGATAGGTCTTTTAATGCTAGAATGGGCAGGAATGGTGTCCCTAGCCTTTGTTTGTGAGAAGCTGGGAATGGGCAACAGGGGTGGATGTCACGTTATTGGATTCTAAAGATCACTGTTGCACCCCCGGGGGGGCGGGTGCTTGCCCCAAAAGTCTGTACAAAGGGGGTCATGTGAGATGTTAAATGAAAGCTTATGTTCTACCGATTCTGTAGATGCTATTCATGTACTTGTACAGTATCTGTATGTGGAGTTAGAGATATATACTCGGTGTTGATGCTGGAAAATTCTCTGTCTGAGGCACAGCAATGGGCAAAGAATGCTCAGCCAGTGACTCTGCTAATTAGCAACGCTCCAGGGACAATGAATCTCTAGGTGCCAATACACACCTAAGGAATGTGACTGATACCTGCAAACCAGCCAGGGCAGAATGGCTGCCAGCATGTGAAACAGAGATAGGTCACTTGACCATGTGACCTGCTCCGGCCAGGAGGATGCCAGGAGAGGTATACAAGTGCCGTGTGGCACCCTCCATATTGTCTTGAGTTCAGCTCCTGACCCCAGATGCAGACTTGCAGGGAACAATGAGCTGGAAAGAACCGTGGACCCATCCTGAAATAGGATTACACCAGACACTTAGGATAGCAGTTTACAACATCTCTGCTGCGGGCCTGCATTGAGAACTTGGTGATTCGATGCATGTCATGTATTCTCCTTAACCTCACTCTCAGGCTTTTCTTTCTGTTAGTAATAAACCTTAAGATTTTAGATTCTAAAGGATTGGCCCAGCGTGATCTTATGGGTAAGATCCAGAGTGTAAATTGACTGGGATCTGTGGCTCGTTTCTTGGGTCTGGAAGAACCCGTTCGGGGGAGGTGAGACTGGGTTCTAGAACCCCTCACTGTGTGCAGGCCCAGGGCTGACTGGGGCACAGGAAGAGCTGGGGTGTCAGAGGGGTTTTGCTCAGAAGGCTTCTGGCTGGCCAGACTGGCAGCTGAAGCATTCGGTGGGACTGGTTTGTGACCTGTTTGGAAGGTCTCCAGTCTGGGGCTGCAAGGAGCCCTGAGTTTTGAGCAATTCGCCCTGAATGGATGCCCTCAACTGTGCCCAGCCCCAGCCCGGTCCGTCACAGTGGGATCACTTGGTTCCCTATTCTGTTTATTCCCTCGGAGGCACCGGGCATTGGACGCTGTCGGCAGACAGGACACTGGGCCAGATGGACCTTTGGTCTGACCCATATGGCTATTCTTATGTTCCAAGTCAGGTAAATATGGTTTCTGGAGAAAGTCTGTGTATTTAGACATTTTGTTAAAACATAACCTTGATTATTTTTTAAACAAGAACTTCATTTAAATCTAACTTGCTGAAACTGGGCTTCTTCTTGGGAACGTCCTGTCCCAGTACCAACCCAATTTGATCCTACTTTACTGATAAGATCAGAATGGGAGATGCCATGACTGCAAGCCAGGCTAAAATCAATGTACATTTTAAAGCCTTTACAACAAGGATAAAGCTATGAAGAGGCAGGATCCCCCCCAGCCAGAATAGTTTTGGAAAGAGCATTTCAACTGACAGAAATACAAACCCAAAGCCACAGGCCTACCCAAGTATCCTGATGCTTCTCTTCAAGTGTGAGCAGCAGGAGGAAAGGTGGACACAAAACTATCCAGGGCAAGCATCTCTCAAGAACCTGAAAGATTTCCTGGAAGCTGCGCCAGGCAGAGGAGCATTCAAAATCTACCTCTCCTATTTTATTACAGCAGCAGTTCTCAGTCTGTGACCCATGCATCATTCAGCAGCCACAGAGCACTTGGGAACAGCCTGAACAATTGACAGGTCCCAGTATGCTGGCTCCACTTCCCGGCTTCTATCTTCTACTATGGGCATCCCATGCTCATCTACGTAGCTGAGGAGACAGAGAGGGGAAAAGAGCCAGAGCCACCATCAGAACGATTCGAAACAACTAGGCAGTTTCCTAACATTCCTTTGCTCTGCACAGAACCTCACTAGGCGTTGCATGATTTGCAAATGGGGTCGGAGGAGTTTCCCACAAGACTGTTCAGATGGGGACCATGCTATGTAAAAGCATGAGGAATCCTGGTTTAAGGCGCACTAAGCAAATATCCCATTACTGACAAGTTGCCATGTTTCCCTTACAAATGGGAAGAACAACTCCATCCACAGCTCTCTACCACTATCCTATCTTGGGCCCGTTCTCAATCTACAATAGATCTCATCAGAAGCAACTACACCAGGGCTCGTCACACAGCAGCCCGCGTCTGGCCCGTTGGAGCTTTAACCCAGCGCTTGTGCTTTACTGCCTGTTCCACTGGAGAGCGGCATTGAAGGCTTGCACAACGACACTGACACCAGACTTTGAGCCACTGTTCAGAAGCTGCCTTGTTCACATGAATCAAAGAGGGCATGGAAAGGAGGTTTAATGACTGTAATACGTTGCTATGATGATTATGCTATATGATTTATAATAGCAACGAAGGGTTTGAAGCTTTACTTCCACTAAAATGTATCTTTATTAAATGAAGTTTATTTCAATAGTAGTTTTAGAGAGTTCAACTGACTAACACCACCATTGCTTAATTATGGTTTCCTTTGAAGCTAAAACAGTTTGAATATATTTTGGTTATTGCCATGGTTAAATGGAGAAACACTGATGATTCAACCAACCTAATTACAGATCATAAAGAAGTCAGCAATAAACACAAAAATTACCAAAGTTCCAAGTAGTGCAGTACACTACTAAATTCTGGCTAACACACAATCTGTGTTCATACAAGAGCAAGGCGGTATAGTAAAAATCAACTAAGCTCAATAATGTCATTTTTAACAGCGGATTGTACAACAGAATTATTTTAATAGTTTTGATTTTGAAAAAAAAAGTGCTGTCCCTGTTTGAACATGATCTGTTAATTTCAGGAGCATTTATGGCCTGCCATACAAAGTCCATGCCCAGATGCAGCCCTAAGACTAAAAAGTTCGCCCACCCCAGGACTACACAATAGTGCATCTATTTCCTGTGTTTCAGAGATCCTCATCCAATTTAAAAAACTGAAAGACCACTGCCTGAGCCATGGGAAAGCTACTGTAAATGAATCATGCTAAGTGCACATGGAATTCATAGCACCTTTGGAAAACAAAGTGATGCCTCAAATTCCGAGGCATTTGAAACATTCATTTGTTAGCTGGACTTCAGCTTTAAGTTGTAATCTTTTTTGGGTCAAAGCAATAAGAAAATTAAGGATGCGCCTATTCGTTTTCATCTCCTCCAAGTTAATTACACAGCTCCACTATGGCTCACAGTGCTAAGTAAAAATCAAGTTATGGAAGAAGCACCAAAAAAATCCCAAAATTACTTTTTCTTCTTACTCCTGTCTCTATGTACTTCAGCGAACACACAAACACTAAGGCTTAGGAGTTCAGAAAGAAAGTGTGATAGGCTACTGGAATGCTCTTCAACCATGGGCACTCATGAGACCAGG